ATATTATACGGTAAAAAAATGTAAATAATGGACATTATAATGTAAAAAAAAAGTAAGATAATATAAAATAAGAACTTTATTGATCCAACAGTGGAGAAATTACATTAAATTAATATTGTACATTATACTGTAAAAAACTGTAAATATTGTACATTATACAGTAGAAAACTGTACTTAATGGAAATTATAAGGTACGAAACTGTAAATAATGCAAATTTTTGTGTAAGAACTGTAAATATTGCACATTATAAGATAAAAACCTGTAGATAATGCACATTATACGGTAAAAACAGTAAATAATGGACATTATATTGCAAAAACAGTAAATAATGGACATTATACGGCAAAAAAATGCAAATAAAGGACATTATAATGGAAATAAAACTGTAAATATTGTACATTATACAGTAAAAACTGTAAATAATGGACATTATAAGGTACAAAACTGTAAATATTGCATATTATAAGGTAAAAAACTGTAAACAATGCACATTATAGGCTAAACAACTTTAAATATTGCACTTTATTGGGTAACAAACTGTAAATATTGCACATTATAAGGTAAAAAACTGTAAATAATTTACATTATAGGGTAAACAACTTTAAATATTATTAGGTAAAAAATTCAATATTGCACATTATATGCTATTATACGCTGTTTATATGCTCTAAAACTGTAAACAATGCACATTATAGGGTAAACAACTAATATATAAATAAATAATATCCCACTAATGAGGATGTGAACATGTTTGTTATCAGGACGCAGAAATAGCTCTCATCCGGTTCTATGATTAATGCACATTTTAGTGTAAAAAACTGTAAATAATGCACATTTTTGTGTAAAAAAACTGTAAATAATGCACATTTTTGTGTAAAATGTTCTCTACAGATACAATCTCATTCTCAGGGTTTCTGTCCTGGGGGGGGAATACTGTAGATAAGATTAGAGGAAAACTTCCTGCTGCTTAACCTTCTCATGCATGAGTTCCCATCATGTTTTTAATTTGCTTCAGACATAAAAAACGGTGAATTATTCTTGTTTTTTTCATCAAAAACCCAAGTGGACTCACGGTTTTTAAGATATCCCACCAATGAGTTTTAACACCGCTTATTATTTTTTATGCTACTTAATAAGAAATACGATTAATTGAGATGCTTTTATGGCAAACCCTCTGTTCCACCTCAGAGTGAGACACTTTTTTTAATCAATCAATCAATCAATGTTTATTTATATAGCACTTTACAACAACCGGAGCTGATCAAAGTGCTTTACAGAATAAAAACTGATCAAACTATCGAACAAGACAAAATAATACACAAAGACAAACACATCGGTGACAGAACCCAGTATACAGAGACCCTACGTGCAGAAAGCCATTTTTTTAACAAAGATAATCTTCTGTATTGTTTGGAAAACCAGGTTTTGGTGGTTAATCTTTCAGAGAAAACTCAGAATCTGCTGTTTGGGCAACAGAAAGGATCAACATGTGCTTTTCTGTTTTTCACCGGTGGATTAGCAGGCAAACCTGACCCAGCGTTTTTTTTTTTTTTTTTTTTTTTTCGGCTAACAAAGGCGGCTTTGTGCTCTGACAAACGCCGCCTCGTTACTTTAATGACATCTGAGTGCGCCCGTATGGTCGAAATTATCCAATCAATTCATCACTTCTCCAGCCTTGTTTTTTGTTTTTTTGGAGCAGCAAAGAGGGGAAATTTAAGGGGAGGGTTTACAGAAGTGGTTCGAAGTCGAGAAAAAGGAAAGGGCTTTGAAAAGTCTGTTGTAAAACAGCACAGAAGAAGAGTTTAGAAGGACTAAAGCTAATAAAACAACACAAATGGGACTCA